AGGTATTTAAAAGGGAGAGAATTAAGGCATTTGAAAAGGATGGACAGTAAGGCATGGATCAGTGCATGGGTTTATAATTTTAATTAGGATCTATGAGACGTTTAGAGTTTTATGTACGAAAGCCTAAGCAAGTCTAACTCTAATATTGCATAATAATGCGAAAGCTAAACTTGAAGAAAGATTTTGAAAAAAAAATAATTATAGTATTTTCAAGAGAAAACAAATGCCAAGGATTTTAAGTAAATAACCTTAAATTGTTAGAATACTTAAATATTTGAGTACTTTGGTAATTTGGTTCTACTGCTTTTGTCTAATATCTAAGGGTGCTATTTATAATATAAGGTTTTTCAACTCTAAAGTAATTCTGCTTTTCGTTGTCTAGTACAATTAGAGTAGATAACAAGATATTTAAATAAAATAAATATTCTATCCCTAGGTAAAACACCGCTAATCTAAAGTCTTAGTGTAAGTAAAATAAATAAAAGAGGATTCTAACTTTATTAAAGTCTTAGTCTTAGTGCAAGCAGTCTTACTCAAACTCATACTCTTCATGCAAACTCCTTATATAGTGCTTCTCAATGCTGGTTGCTGATGCGCCTCCAAGTGATGTTACCTCAAGCCCAATTTGTGCCTTTGGGCAATATGCGACACAAGTGTGTGCTGCTAGTCTAAGTCCTCCATCGAGCTGGATTAGTCAAAAGATTGCGAACCGTGCCATTTACCCCCATTCGATTCAGGCAACGCCTTCATTGCCTTATGGCTTCACGTTACGATAAATCTTCAATAGGGTTCCCATGAATGGTGTGGGCTCGATTGAGGTAACCCTTCATTAGATGTCTCTGAAACACCTCCAAGTCTGAATGTATTCTACTGTGTGGATGTTCGGCTCACGGCTAGCCTATGACATCCAAATACATGGCTCCTATGTTCATAATGTCTCCGTTTGCCACACACACAAGACGCGATGGGTTTCAACTTAACACTTAGGTCGTCAATTCAATGTCAAAGCTCCACTGTTCAAATTGCTTAGTCTAAAAGTCACATTGTGCGCCTTTCTGGTATTTGTCAGTTACATGTGCAACCTTCTATTTGAGACCTCTGACAACCTTTAACAATTGCCATTGTTGCTATTGCATGGCCACTATCGATTCATCTAGCCCCATATTGCAGTGAATGAATGTATCGACTTTATTGTGCCATTCATTACGAAACTCATCGCTATTGGACTTTAACTAATTGATACTGTAGTCAACGTATTCGAGATTGCTTCACACCTCATGGTTGAAAATTGTTTTAAGATGCGATACACGATTATTCAGTGCTTGTAATGTGTCCTTAAACTCATAATTCTCCATGGTACATGTGTGCATAGTTTTCTCTATGTTTGTAACGTTCACTCCATCTTGATCCAAAGGGTTCAAGTGTGATGTGGTTTGGTCACCAATTGATTTTATTATCTTTTTCAAAACACTTCATTCTTTACCAACTTTCATGACTTCGATTCAAAATAAATTTCTACTTCTCCTTGGCTTTCGAGGTTGTAGAAACTTACCTTAAACCAATTTTCTTTGAAAATTGGAGTTTCCTTGGATCTTTGGACTTAAGATCCGTTTAATAACTGAAAAATGACTTGTTGGGAAAAATTTTTTTATGTAAAATATTATATAGGAAAATTTAATATTTTTTATTATTTGAAAAAACTGTCGAAAATATCTTTTATTATTTGAATCATCCTATGGAAAATATTTTCCACCATCATGGTAGAGTTATTTAGGTGTTGAAATGATAAATAGGAGTTGATTATAAAACAACGGTGACATTTAATTTTCACTAATTTGATATCCAAATTAGAAATGAAAATGAAAATATACAAAATCAATAATAATTTTTTGCAAAGCATTTAACCACATATTTACAATGAAACTAAGCTCTAATTTAAAAAAAAAATTCAGCTCATCATTTTTTTCATAACATTATAAAAATATAATTATTGATCAATTGTATAAGACATAAAAAATTTATCCTTATAAATGTGTATTCATTAAATGACAATCATTGAAATATTTTTTATTATAATTATTAGTAAGATATATTTAATTTATAAATAAAAGTTTTAATTGCATTGAATGATTTCACTAAAAAAACATTTTTTAAATTTTGATATTGTTGAATGATTTAAACATTAATATTTGACATTAATTTTTTAATTTAAATATTATTTTTTATTTTTTAATATTTTAAGTTAAATATTAATAAAAGTTTTTTTATTTTTCAAAAAATATCTTAAACCCTTTAAGGGCTTAAGACATTTTACGTGGTCAACAGGTGTTTTGCCTATTGACCCGTAAAATGTTTTACATTTAGAATCAATTTTTTGTCTATAAGTCCTAAAAATGTTTTTTGAAAAATATTTTATGTCAAAACAAATGGACCTTGAATCAACCTTTACTTTCCCCTAGATTTCTCGTTTGCTTTGATATGCTTAGAACAATAGCCAAGATCCATGTGGCATTTAAAGCTTTATGTACGAAAGCCTAAGCAAGCTTAACCCTAAATATACACCCGAATATTTGATTCATTGGTTGGTATATTATCCCTTATTTAAAGAGTAGAGTTCGAATCCCTCTTCCTTCAATTATAAAAAAAAAACTTAACCCTAAATATTGCACAATAATAAAAAAAATATTTTGAGAAAAAATAATTATATTATTGTCAAGAAAAAACAAATACAAATACTTAAGATTCTAAGCAAATAACCTAAATTGCTAAAATACTTGAATATTTAACTACTTTGGTAATTTAACTTTATTACCTTTCCTTAATGCTAAAGGGTACTATTTATAATACAGCTTTTCCCAATGCTAAAACAACTGTACCTCATGCTATTTAGTGCAACTTAAGTAGATAACAAGAGAATTAAATAAAATAAATATTTTATCTTAGATAGAATATCAATAGCTTGAAATCTTAGTGCAAGTAAAATAAATAAAAAAAATTTTAACCTTATTAAAACTATCTTATAAGAGCAATCCTACTCTAACTCAGCCTCGTCATGCAAACTCCCTATATAGTCGGACGTTTGAAAACCCCCGAAACGATGCTGGTTTAGTGCTAGTTGTCGACGGGCCCCCAAATGATGTCATCTTAAGTCAAATTTGTGCCCATAAGCACTATGCATCACAAGTGTGTATTATCAGTCCAAGCCTTTTATTGAGGTGGACTACTCACAGGATTACGAACTGTGACACTAGGTTGTGCTTAACCTGGTCAGGCTAGTGACCACAACTCTTTCTGAGTCCTAGCCCTACCTGTTTATCATAAATGGCATATGTCTTAAATGAAACATTAAAGAGCCTTTATTGTACGAGTGAACGGATTCAAGGGAGAGTTGAAACCGCTTACTAGTGAGTGAGGAGGGGAATTGGCTTCATGTATTGAATATTGGAAAGTTTTACTTGATGTCGGTGCCATTGGATGACTTCACTTTATATTGGGTTTGGAATTATTGTGGAAGACGAGTTTACGTTTCTTTATTTTCAAATTTGAATTGTAGAAATTCAACAGAAAAACTTGAGTCTTGTACTTCAACACGACAAGCTTATCTTTTGGGAAATTCAATATCATTGTAAGGTAGTATTTGGTATGAAAAAAGTGAAAATAATTTTTTTGTAATATATTTAATTAAATTACATTATACTGTTTATTTTGTAATAAATTATTATAATATAAAATTATAATGCAGTCACATTATAATCAATAGATGTAATCTGATTGCAACTCAAAATCAAAGTAATTAAATTGTATTGCACTTTGTAATGTTATTAAAAACATTTTTATCTTTTAACTTTGTTACTTGTTAAAACTATTTTATAATATTTTTTATATAGATTTCAAGAATGTCTTTTTATTATTGTCAATAATCATGGTAACTATCAATAAAATTTATATTGTCTATTCAAAGAAAAAAATTAAAATAAAATATATAATATAAAAAATTATATTAAGAAATAAAAATAAAATATAAAAAATGATAATAAAAAATAAAAAAATATATGACATTAAAAATATATTTAAAAGATGATTTATACAAAAATTAATAATAAAAAAAGACAACTATATTAAATTTACATTTTAGTAAATAAAAATAATTTTAAAAATTGATATTATATTCCGATAAAGTACTTGTAAATCAAATGCTGCAATATTATCTTCCTTACATTTTAATCATTATTTTACTTATGCACTAAATACTGCAATGTTATCTCCTTTGTAATCACATTACTTGTAATCACATTACATTATGAAGTATCAAACGCTACCTAAATGTTATTATCGAGTATTGACTGGTTGATTATAACTCATTTCAGTGTTAATTATAATCAGTATTAATATCAAAAGTTATCTATAACTATAAAAACTTTATAGATAGTAATAAATCGAAATAATGGAAAGAAAAAACATTTTAAATTTTATAATTCGATTTTAAATGTATAAAATTATTTATATGATTGGCTAATACTTTTATAAAGATCAAATGGTTATTTTATTTAAAGACCACATTTCCATTATCGTTATCTAAAATTACTATTAAAATAATCAAAATTATTTTGCCATTTTGCTTCATTTATTTAAGAAAAAATTTTTTCTAAAGGATATTTCATAGATGCTCTGATGTTAGTTACAGTTGCAATGACAATAATACAATAGTACATTGTCTTTTGGTAAAGGAACAGACTTGGGTTCACCCCGTGAGCGTTTAGAAGCTGTAAAAAAACATAATATATGTCTTCATAACATCATCGTGACGTTAATGACTGTATAACATTTTTTATGCATGGATTCACCAGATGTTAAGAAAACTTTAACGTGAAGTTACGTAACATAGCGCCTCTTC